ATATATATATATATATATATATATATATATATATATTANATTATATATATATANATATATATATATATATATNTATATATATATATATATATATATATATATATGTCTGTGTGGCTTTGCTTTTGTTTTTTTGTTTTATTTTACTTTATTCTACTTTACAATTGTATATTCTTTTTGCTGTAAAATATTTTCATCCTATATATATATATATATATTTATGTGTGTGTGTGTATTTATATTAATTTCTGATTGTCGCGGAGGAACAAATGCTACATCAGGTGTGCGAGTTGTACAATTTGGAGAATCAGTGCATGCGCAGTCCTTCGGACTCATTGTTTGCAGTATCTGTACTCTATACTCATTTTAATAATTTCCAATATTACGCACACGTTTGTATCAACCACTGATGATGTATTTTCCGGTGCACTCCCTAACCACAGATCCAGTGATGAAAAGTACCACTGATAAGAAAGGAAAACGAACCTTCACGGTGGCTTTACCTCATGCGGTGTGTATCCCATCGGTAGAGTTTAGTGCTGTTATTGTGGATGCTTCTCTGCCATCTTGAGGATGAGACCTAGTCGTTATGTATGGCTATGTGTGCTTTTTTAGGGGGTTCAACCGCGTTCTGCGGTCTTAGTGAAGTGAATCAGAATAAGCGACTCTGTTCGTTTTGCAACGAATAAGGTGTTTATTGCATACGTCCATCTTTTGTTATTAGATAACGTTTTTTTGATCCCGCAAAGACATGAATGCATGCCGGTGAGGACATAGTCGCGCAGCCTTTACCGTTTGACGCCCACATGGCCACGATTTGAAGTGTGTTGGTTTATTCCAACTGTCGTTCTTCCATGTGATATCTAATCGATTACACCAACCGGGTGTGCACATATTATGTGGCTATAGGCAGACTCTGACTCCGATGATGGTGCACCCAAGGTCAAGTTCATAAAGAAACCCAAGTTTGATTCCAGCGGTGGCCTGTTCTCCATGCTGCCTGCCCCCAAGGTACTAGTTTTGTGTTTGAGTGTGTGCGTGCATAATCGATGATGGAGGAAGTTGGGGTGAGAGTGCAATGGACATTGTATACCTAGGTATCGTAGATGAGGCACTGTAGTAGATTACTATAGACACCTTGAGATACAGGAGTGTGTAGTTCGGTTTTAAACACTTTCGCGAATGATTAAGTCTGATGTGTTCACCTGTACTTGCGCTGTTGAGCCTCTCTTCCGAAGTGTCGAATTAGAAAAGTTTTTATAATAGGGCGACAAAAGTGTGAGTGATTTCTCTGGGAAGACTGCGTACCTATAAAGCGCTTCCCGGGAAACGAAATCACTGACATTAGTCATTTGCAAGTGGCTGCTGTGCCCTAAGAGATGGCTGGAATGACCTTTGATATATGCCCTTATATATACGCATATATTCTTTGTACTCTCGCAGAGTGATCCCTTCAAGTCGATGGGGTCTCAAACCCAGCAGGTCTCATCTGAAACAACCAGCGCCGTTGACAATAGCGCAAAGTCAGTACCAGTACCTGTCAAGTATGTGTTATTCGGCAAGTGTGCGTCATTGTCTGTGTATGTATCGGATGTTATACATCTGCGATATCTATGTCATCTGACCAATGTGTGTGTCGCCTGTACCATACGTAGCATTGTCTAAGAGTGCCACCTACCTCATCTTTACTGCATATTCGATCGTAATATCCGTCAGGAAATACTTTTTATATGGCTTTTATTGGATATGTGTATCCTGAAAATTAGCATCTGGGAACCGATCCGCTCCTTTTTGGCAGCACCGTGCAGGTTAGTGCTGCGTGTCCTGAGAAGCATGGTATATATCTGATGGTCCTTCCCAGTAAGAGAATACTTTGCAAAAATAATATCTCAAATCTGGTGCATTGCAGTCTACCACCGTCTCAATATATCGCTTTCAACATAAATGAATTTCACAATAATAGGGCCAACAACATGGTACCGATGGCATTGAGCAGAAAGAAGAAGGCGCAGCAAAAGGAAGCCGAAAGTGATGGCGAGAACGATGGCACTGACTTTTTGGCATCGCGTATGTTCATTCTGTACTTGTATAATAATTGTTTTTCTCAAGTATATGTAATATTTGTTATTCTCATGTATACCTAAAGAATAGTATCTAGTCACATGGTTCTTGCAGATAACTTGCGTAGGGGTCGTAGGCCTGGCAGCTACATGTAACCCTCCCATGGTATGCCAGTTGTGGTCTATTTGGTTGCTTTACTTCTCCAATAAGCTCTGATCATCTCACACTTGTGTTACTCGATGCACCCACAGTTGCGCAGCCGACGGCCTATGCGGACGAGCCAGACGAGGGTCCCTCGCTCCCCGATGGAGACGATGTCGTGGGTGCATATGTAAGTAATATTTGTTTGCTTGTATACAATATACCGGTAGCGATGATGTGCGCATAATGTTGAAGGGATAGTTTAATGTAGAATAAGCCTAGTGATGGTGCTGATGATGTGAGCTTGATGTGGATCCGAAAGCTGATTGTTGTCGTTGTATACATATATATGTGTTTAGTATATTCGGCTTCCTGTCATATGTAAATTTCTGTGCATGCTTCCATGTGTGATTAACCTAGTTTAAAGTATGTTAGGTGCAGTGTTTGTATCCATCGTAACATACCAAATACGTCATCAACGGAGAGTTTACATCTATGACTTACTACCAATTTGGTTTTGTGTTTGCGAGTCTTTTGCGTTAAATTGTACTCTCTTTTGTTCATGTGTATAGACGTACGTGTTTATGATTTTTTTGTGACCATTATAGGACTGAATATATGCACAATACAGCCAATGGTTTCAGACGAGCACCCACTAGACTTAACGGTCCCTATTGTCGTTTCACTGTCACATACATTCTATACTGGCGTAATCGAGCATCCCAAGTTGTTGCTTAATTACAGCCAGGGTCATATCCGGCCGACGATTCCGAGGATGTCGCGGGAGCATATGGCGACGATGACGTTACAGGCGCGTATGGAGATGGTGATGTCACAGGCGAGTATGGAGAGAGTGCTGTCACAGCGGCATATGGCAATGGGGTAACAGCCGTACCACCACCACAGCAGAGGTCTTCTGCTATGCATGCGGAAGCGGTAGGTGTTGATATGTCTTTTCGCATTGGAGGTCTTTGAATGTACTTTTTAAGAGTACCACGGGTTGTGGTTAGGCATGCTTCTTTTCTGCTCTTGATATGGTCTCAGTGTATGTTTCACTCTGACACTTAAATTCGTGAGCATGGGACACGAAGTACACGGACGCATGTTTGCGGGTTTTCTGATGATCTATTCGTCCTGTGTGCTGAAATGTAGGACGTGGCTGTTTATCATCACTAACCACAGCCTTCGGTTACACGCAGTTCCGTCACTTGGAGGGCAGAGGCCACAGGCGGACTGACTTTCCCGCAGACATGAATATCATAGGTAAGAACATCTCAGAATATTACAGTGACATATGCGGCATTGCAGCATTGACTTTCACTGCTTATATGTTGGCATTCACATGCTCGAACGTTCTGTACTCTACTTTGAGTGTTAGGCTCGCAATCTTTGTCAAATCGAGAACATATGTGTTCGTAGAGTTGGATTAGGCCTCTATGAGAAAGTGTGTTTCCACGGCCGGTTTTCGTGCGCTTCATGTTTCCAGAGGGTGTTGTCATAGTCATTTGAATATCAACTTATTTGCTTCTCCGAGTCTAATTGCCTAAACATTCCGGTCACATCTGCGTATATCTAAGCAAACGTGTATCAGCAGATATCCAATATCTGTTGATAGCTACTATCTAACACATCCGAATACTTCTATTCCATATATCCGGATGATGTTGTCAGATTACTTCGTAGTCCTGATTCTGACAAACGATATTTCATATTATTTCTTATGGTAGACGTGAACGCTAGCAGCGTGGCCGGTGACACCGATCGATGGGCCAACGACTACAACACCAGCCAGCCGGAGACGCCCATGGTGTCGCTTGCGGTACGTGTGCGTGCCTATAGACCACGTGTGCATTTATGAAACCAATGAGCTTGCTTGTATATACACGTGATGCCCTATAGATATCGTGTGCTGATGGTAATATTTGCTACATTTGTCTGCGCTTGTTCTGGTTCAGACTTCACCCGTCGGTGTATTTGTAGCTGACATCAGGGCTACTAATAAGTACCTACCAATGAGTACCTTTCGGCGCGTCTATTGCGAAGTATATAATATATGGAGCATGCCTTGTTATACGTGTGGTATTAACCTGGAATAGGAATGTGCATGTACCTACAGGTTATTGAAGCGTCTGTGCATAGATACTCAAACGATTAATCGCATGTCTGACCATTTCAACCCGATTGGCTCTGACCTTGTCCTATATCGCATACCCGTGCTTATGCACACAATCGGCAGCTCCCCGAAATGTGTACATGTAATCTTTATCGAAGCAAAGATATGCCTGAATTCCGTCGCTAATTATACATAATTTTTTTAAATGTAGGAGATGAATGCTGACGCGCGGAACAAGGGCAAGACGAAGCAGAAGAATCAGATCACACATCTTGCGGCCCATGCCAAAGCTAACAAACAGCAACTGGAAGCAAGGTAGGTGGTGCCTACAATGTACTGGACACGCTCTTTACCGAAGTATAGGCTGCATTAGGCAACACCTACAATAGCACCAGAGGAGGCAGAATAGAGCTCTATATCTGACACTATACACTCCATTGCAGTCATAGGGAATGTATTGCTTGGTCATCGGGTACGCCTGTCTCACTCCTATATTTACGAAATGTGCCTTTGTGTACAGCCTTGCATGCTCTCATATACTGTGAATCGTTGTCGCTTCTTATACAGATGGGCTAGTCAGCGCGGGGCAATGCAGGGGCAATCGAAAAAGTACGGGTTCTGAGGGTTACCTGGCTGCCTGCTTCGCGTGCTTTCGTATCGAAGCACACCCACCTCCGCTATGGAGTCACTCTCATGCACACACGACGCGTACTTTGTCATATGCTATACGGAATTATCCCAGATACACGAGAAGGATAGCTCAAGTTTGCCGCAGTAATCGGCGCATGTGTAGGGCAGTGTGCTGGGCTATTAAGCACGCACTTGCTTCTTTATAGTGTTTGAGGACATGGGCATCCCGTTGGTCGGTTTCTGGGGCAACAAACCTTGCCGACGGCTTCACGTGGACTTGTGGAATGTGTCATTGTGCATATACTGTTCCAACATACTAGAGCATTGAGGTAGCAGGGTGAAGGACAGAGGGTTGCAGCTACTGCTAATTGGCAAGTCTTGTTTGCAGTAGGCTTGAAACACTCGCAAACATTCTCAATCTAAATGCAAATGAAATCAGCGCAGCGTCATGCTCATGTGCAAGGCCTGAATCTATTATATATACATACCACATATACATACCACATTGCCCTGCAAACGGAGTTGAGATATGTTGTTTGGTTACAGGAATTTACCACATGCAGTTAGCATCGATTGCTGCAACAGGACACCCTCGTCAAGGATGATGAAGTCTAACATCGGTCACGACCTGCACACAGACACGACATTGAACTCAGACGGCACTCGGTAGGAAATAATAGAGTGGCTGTGTGCACATCGCAAATCATGTGGAAACACTCAGCGGTGCTGTAAACCAAACTGCAACGATCTCCGCACGCGCTATCGCTTACAATAATGACCATGCAATCTCCGACGATTGGTGCTATTCAATCAAGGCCTGCTTAGGCGAGTAGTCCTCCTACAGAATATCACCGAAAGCTTGAGGCATGGTAACTTGTTATAACTCGTCAGTTTTGACGCGGTGGCATCTTGCCATTAATAGAAGTGTGCGATGTACATTATATTTTGGTACCACGGCAAAGGAAGTACCGGAATGGTGCCTGTCGCTTCTGTGGCGACAGGCACCGGTTGAATTCTGCCTTCGCGGAACCCCCGCTATTTAATATGCGGAAGCTGAGCTTTTACGCGTTGTTGGCTGTGCTATTCTCGGACGCGACCGTGCCTGACATACAGTAAGTGACATAACAATAAAGGCTCTGAAGGCATTGACCAATACCAAGCAGGCAAGCGCCAGCTGTACTGTTTGAGCATACTTGGCATACGGGTTAAGATATCGCCATTGTACGTTGGAGACGGAAGTCACCCTGAACCTTGTACGAGATAACAGTTAGTACTAAAACCTTACCAATTGAGACGCGAGAAAACTATTAAAATCTCACATCTGTTGTCTACAAACCATCCTGCATTCATATTAAATATCTTTTTGTGTGTAAATGACTTGCACACACACAAAAATCAAGGTACGTGTTCTACTTATCTGTACTCTTTGTCGGTACACATGTATGGATGCAAGACGGTCAGCTACGAACCCACCACATAGTAGAGCGTATAAGCATGCAAATGGGCAGTAAAGCGAGTGTCCTGAGAATTCAGTACGGAAGATACTCCATTCGAAGTACACACGGTACACATACAACGTCTAAACGTGAACGAGGAAGGAAAACAACCCATATAAGCTACCGACCCCACAAATTGCATTCATTTGGCCCCTTCTTCCGCCTCGCATCTGCAGCACACACGCGCTTGTACATGTGTTTCGGATTGGCTGTATTACTACGAGATCCGTACTAACGTTAGTCTCCGTACTAACGTTAGTCTCCGTACTAACGTTAGTCTCCGTACTAACGTTAGTCTCCGTACTAACGTTGGTCTCCGTACTTACATTGGTCTCCGTACTAACGTTGGTCTCCGTACTAACGTTGGTCTCCGTATTAACGTTAGTCTCCGTACTAACGTTAGTCTCCGTACTAACGTTGGTCTCCGTACTTACATTGGTCTCCGTACTAACGTTGGTCTCCGTATTAACGTTGGTCTCCGTACTAACGTTAATCCTAGTGCACAATTGGTGATATTCTTTCTTCAAACCAGATTTGCTACAGAAGTGCTGCGAATAGCTGCGTCTCGACGACGAGCAGGGCGGAAAGCCAAATCGCCTACATTTACTAATGATCTGTGTTGGCACTTCTCCTAGAATACAACATTAACCATCGTCTACAGACTTGTTTCACTATACAGTAGCGCTGAACACAACATAGTCGTCGTGCGCATATAGCGCCCTACTGTACGTGTGACAAACTGCACGTAAATACAAACGCACTAACCAGGGGTCCCAGTGACATGTTTTGTACAGCACATTTATTTATTTACTACATACTTCGCCTGTGACACCCCCATAACAAAATATAAATATAGCCACGTCATGGATATTCCAGTCACAAAATCTGTACTGAAAACTTGATCCCATTTTCTATCGTGTCATGATTTGGGCTACATGTGGGGCCAGAAATCTGGCGGTTTCCACAGCGGCAACCAGGGCTGTGCGGCGGTTCTTTGCACCTGCCACCAGCGCAACCCCACTCGTAACAGGTGGGTCTGAACCTGTGTGTGTGTGTTAGATGGGTCTGAACCTGTGTGTGTGTGTTAGATGGGTCTGAACCTGTGTGTGTGTGTTAGATGGGTCTGAACCTGTGTGTGTGTGTTAGATGGGTCTGAACCTGTGTGTGTGTGTAGTAGAGTGGGTCTGAACCTGT